AATATTGAGCGGATAGACTCTTGTAATCACATGAGTATCCCTTCTTTTTATCTTTTTTATTAAACCTGGTTGCAATATGTTCGATATGATACCACGTACTCATCATTTTTTCATAATAGATACTTTCTGGAGTAAATCTAATATTAAGATAAGGTTTCAAGTATCGTTAAACATCTGGGGGCGGTGAATATTTTAATATAGACTCAACGATATTTAAAATTTCTATTTTATCTGATTTGGACTGTTGATACGATCCTGCCATAAATACCTCTACAATATCTAGATTATCGGCATAATCTTCTAGATAACTTTGCAATATTTCTTCTTTATTATGAAGATTACTTTTGTAGATTCTTGATAATGCATCTGCATTTTTATGTATCTTTCCAGATTGGTAAATTACTGTAAAATCGTAAGGTTCCAATCTTATGATCTACTTAGCTCTAGTACCTTTTAATTCACTAGTTCATAACTATTTCAGAGCCACATAATCTGTAACAAGGTAAAAATATTTACCTCCCATATATGGATGGAAATATTCAACAGCCTATACAACAGCCAAACACTCTAATTTGGTAGCTGAGTAATTCTGCTCTGCTTTATTTAGGCTTTGACTAGCTTATGATACTACATACTCCCTTTTTTTTTCATCAAATTGAGCTAACACGATTCCCAACCCTGAAATAGAGGCATTGGTATGTATATAAAATGGCTGATCGAAATTAGGTTGTTGTAGTACTGGGGCCGAAATAAGATGATTCTTTAATGCTTCAAATGATTGTTATTGTTGTATAGTTCATACATAAGGTCCTTCTTTAATAATTGATTTAAAGGTTTAGTGATCTTTGAAAAATCTTTGATAAATTTTCTGTAATATGAAGCAAGTTCAAGAAATCCTCATATTTGTCGCAAGGTCATTGGAACAGAATAATTTTTTATCTTTTCGATTTTATCCTTATTAGGCTTTAATCCGTCTCTTCTTACCACATGACCTAAGAATTTGATATTTGGTAAGAAGAAAAAGCACTTTTCCAAATTTAATTTTAGCTTAGCTTTTCTAAGCTTGTCAAATAGATCGATGAATTAGATGAAGAAGAAGAATTGGAAACCTTTTTCTCAGACGAAATAAGTATTGAATCCGAAGAT